GCGTTGCTTCAGGCACTTCTTTTATCCTCTAGTTCAGTTGGCACTTAGTCCGCCTGTTGACTCTTTCACTCCTCCCCTTCCTCTCCTGTCACCGACCATTCGAACGTCATCGTTTGAGTTCATATTTTGATTATTTCAACAAGATCCTGTTATTCAACAAGCGACATTAAATTGACCCATGCGTAAATATTTGTAAATATTTGTTATTCTTTGGTTATCAACTGGGTGTCATTAAGGCATGAGGACAAGAGATGCATACAATCGCATTTATCACTCACTTCTAGCCTAACACATATGATTCATCTCAGGGTGTGCGATAGACTTACCTCCACGTGGTGCATCCTGGGCAACGTATACTCATATGGCAAAAAAGCCTATTACCTGGCAGTTGACTTCTGACTTCAAACTACCATCACCCCACTGTATGCCATTTTCGACTACTTCCACAGCACTCACCTCACCTTTTATCTACCTTTGTGTCTGTCTCTTTTACAACTTTGAATCTCTCTTCCGCTCCCCTCTCGAATTTTTCTCACTTTGATGTTCCTTTCCCTCTGTGAAGCCTGAAGTCAACTAAAGGCCTAATGATAACCATCAAAACGCTTGCCATTTGATATAAATAAATAAATGATTCATCACAATGCAAACACTAACAGTAACATCGAACTGAGATTACGGTTAATTAGCTTGCATCATGTGCCTTAAAACGCAGATAATAATAATTACAAAGCCAATTTAAGTGTGATCATAGGAAAATAAATTTCAGAAATATATTAAAGATCTAGGTTAACAGGAAGGAACCCTAGAGTCACACCATTTTCTCAACTCTCCATCCACATAATCATATTTGGTTAGATTATTTATTTATTTATATCAAATGGTAGGGATTTTGATGGTTATCATTAGCCCTTTAGTTGACATCAGGCTTCACAGAGGGAAAGGAACATCAAAGTAATGGAAAGTCGAGGGGTGGGGGGGGGGAACAGAAGATTGTTTCAAAGACGAAGGTAGGAAAGGTAGAAAAAAGATGAGGTGAGTACTGTAGAAGTAGTCGAATATGACATACAATGAGATCATGGCAGTTTGAAGTCAGAAGTGAACTGCCGGTTAATAGACTTTTTTGCCGTACGAGTATACGCTGCCCAGGGTGCACCACGTGGATGTAAGTCTATCGCACACCCCATTTGGTTAGATTATAGAGCAGTCTCTGTCCGACAATCCCTATTGTTGATGAGACACCAAACCAAAGTGTCACTAATCTCGTGAACTCTTACTTAGTTACTTACTTACTTACTTAACGGATATGTACGTGGAACGCTAAAACGATTTTTACTTTCGATTATCACATTTAAATCAAAATGTATATATGTGGACGAAGCACATGCTTTAAGACGTAACAAGGTTTGCCATTTTAAATGTGCAATGATGTGTATAAATGAAGCGATGCAGTAATACACCTGGCCATCTGATAATCAACTCTAGCTAGCTGACGGTATGGTGACAAATTTGAGTATAGCTCAAATTAACCGGCAGTTGACTTCTGACTTCAAACTACCACCACCCCACTGTACGTCATGCTCGACTTCTTCCACAGTACTCACCTCACTCTTTTTCTACCTTTGTGTCTGCCTCATTTACACCTTTGAAACATTCTCCTGTTCCCCCTTCCCTCTCGACTTTTTTCACTTTGATGTTCCTCCTCCTCCCTGAAAAGCCTGAAGTCAACTAATGGGCTAATGATAGCTACCAAAACGCCTGCCATTTGATGTAAATAAAATAAATAGAAAAGAAGCCTCTCAGAAATTTTGTGTGTAAGAGTCATTAGCCCATTTAAAATTTGATCGAAAGTTGGCTTTAACGAATTTACAGCAAAATACTGTCACTTAGTTCGTGTGGTTTCCACGTGCGCATACCACCAATAGACAAGTTAGCAACCAATCAAATGGTAGTACTTGTCGCGTGTCTATTTTTTTCTTCAATCAGGTTAAAGCATCCAAAATACGTAAGCCATCTAGTAATTGAGGCTTTTTTGATTGTTTATTCACAGTAAGAATATATGCAACATGTTGAATCGAAATTCGTAAGGGGGAGTGGGGGGAAGGGTTAAATTTTTTAAAAAGAATAGGGCACAATAGATTAAGACCCCTTTTTCTTGCATACTGTCAGGGTAGACGAAAATGGTATTTATAAATCACAAAGTGAAAGAGAAAAGTTTGGTCCGCTAAGACATGGGAACTGAATTAATTCAGTTAGTTGATTTCGGGGTTTTCTCACAAGAACTGCTACCCTAACAACGAGCGTCAATAAATTCGCTTTAAGAGCTCTATACTCTGTTAGTGTCTTTCGAACAGGTGATTAATTAAATAAATTTGTTTGAACTGGGACTATAATCAAGAATAACAGAACCGTAATGTTGAATTAAATTTCAAAGCAATCAAAGAGAGAATTGAGAAATGAAGTGTTCACACGATCAATACAGAAATCGCAGAAGGGCTTTATGTGCCAAAATATTGCTTCTCTTTCTATAAATTTTAGAATTTAAAAATAGAAATAATGGTAAATTAATTGAAAGTAAGTCCCATTAAAGGGAATCAAAAGCGAAGCCTATATTACATTGCCGGTTCATTAAAAATTGACTGGATACGATACACCAACAGCGGATGGAGCATCCTGATTGGCTGAACTGGCAAAATTTAACCTCTTACAGTGTTGATTGGTTACTCATGTGCTATATAGATATTTATGCAGGGGTCAGAATGCAGTTACGTATATGAAAATGGATTTTGCTGAATACTTTTCTTTATTCAGGCCTAATGGCAATCAACAAATTCCGCCGATACCACCGAATAATCAGAAAAATCATTCTCCAATGCCTAATTTTCCTTCCTTTCCTACTGCTATTACTAATGACATTCAACAGCGAGTGCCGCCCAATATTGAACCTAGTGTGGGGGCATCGACTGGTCAAGAAACGTCTACCCAATTGAGTGAAAAAGAGAGGAACAGAAAGGTGAGCTTCGAATTTGTGATACGTTTCCTCTGAACAATGTCAATTTTTCATTGTTTGAATAAAGATTCTAAAACATTGCTCCCTTATTTGCAGGATAAAAAGAAACTTCTGGAACGACAACGACGTTTGAAAATCAATTATTTCATCAAGGCTATATATGATCACGTTTTCGAGATGTCTGGTGAAGTAAGTGCTCTTCTAACATGTAATGAGAAAAGTATTTTGTGCAGAAATCAGTCTCCCTCTCAACCCCNCCCCCCCCCCCCCCCACCCCTCCACTTTAGTCCTAGTTGAACTTGGAATTGTCGAATTAATTGACAACGAGGTTATGTTTATTTCACACATCTCTCTCCCCCCCCCCATAAAATACGTTTTTGTGTGTTTCAGAAATCACCAAAAACTGAGATTTGTGATATGTTGGAAGACTCTCTAAAAGCCATGGAAACCGTATACGAGAATGTGATGGAAGATCCGGATTTGAGAGCGAGAGTTCTACCACCTGGTTTTCTAACATCTAAAGTTACTAAGACAAACACTCGTGTAGAGAATGCTGCAGTATCTCCTATGAGGAAAGGAAAAGAAGTGGAAGGAAAAGTGGTAGGAGAAGGAGAGGAAGTGAAGAATGTACCATCAGGATTGAATGAAGTCCCACTTTCTCTTGTTTCTCCCATTCCATCTTCTATCAAAACTACCTCGACACCAGTGGAAGGTAGTGGAAAGAGAATGGATAGTACAGACAGTGGTCTTGAGCAGACACTTCCTTCTTTTTCTGCCAATGACCCCAACCAATCCACCTCGTTGCTTCATGAACCTTCATCGTCCAAAGGATCCAGATTGTCTTCTGCTCCTAAGATTTGGCAACCTTACCTTTAGTTGGTGTTTTTTGTATTTTGTCCGAGTTGTAATTATCCTTACAAATTTTATACATCTTCTGACTATGTATATTACTTTGGTAAAAGTCGATGCTCATCTATGGTCAGTCACTTTAAGCGAAAGGATTTATTTATATCAAATGGCAGACGTTTTGTTATCAATAGTATTTTAGTTGATTTCTTGCTTCCCAGCTAGGAGTAACATCAAGGTCACAAAATGTCGAAGGGGGGGGGTTGTCAGGAGCTTGATTCACATATGGAAAAGTGGCAGACACAGAGGTAGAGAAAGCGGTAAGGTGAAATGAGGAATGTGTAAATGGTGGAATGTGACATACAGTCTGGTCATTATAGTTTGAATCGAGAAGTCAACTGCTGGTTTATAAACTTTTTGCCGTATATGTATCCGTTGTCCAGGTTGCACCACGATCAAGATTAACGCCCCCATAGTTCGAACCAGATCATTCTGAAGTGAAAAGGAAACAGAAGAGCATTAATACTCTTTTGTAGTCCATTATTTCATCAGCTTTCACTTTATCTTTGTCGTTTGAAATAAATAAATGAATATATGAAATCTCAGTAGGGAGTTTATTCATTTGACAGGCTCGGAGCATCAGGATATAAATAAGCTGGATTTATGCGAAAGAAGAGATTAAATAATTCACCTTAGTGACGTGGAGCATAGAAATTGCAGATGGCCAAATGGGCCACATATTCTGTCAGTGAGAAAGTTAGTCAATCATTATTTTACCTAACCCCATAAGTGCTCTTCGATCGCAGCTTTCATGATATGACGCATTGATCAACATTCTAGTAAGGTCATTATGAGGTTTTTAGGATTAAACTGTACAACAGCCATTTGGCTTAGTAGTATGTCCATTAGTAAGGTTTTGGGAAGCCCAAATTTGTCTGCTGACTGACCTGATCAACAGAAGAATTTTCCTGCACTGTTTGCTTTCGCCTTATGAATTTGTGGATATTAGGTCACGGTTAATTTTGAAACGTTGGAATCACAATCGCTCTGATGGAATTGGCGT